CTGTTCCTCTCTTTAACCGTAAGGGAGAACAATACTCCTCTGTTAGACTTCTCATGAGATTTCAAATTGAACAAGTAAATATTCTACCATAAGATAAAACATTGTCTGATGTAAATCAAGCCTTTTAAAAAATAGATAAATAAATAAATAATGGCTTATAGGATTATTGCAATGTACTGTGTACCCAAATGTTTTCCCTGTATATCAAATAGAGAATAAATACATTAACAGTTTGTTAGTTTGAATGAAAACAGTTTGATTTCTTTTAAATAAGATTTTGAATTCAAGTTTTTTGAATAAAAAAACAAACATTGGAAGAGTTTTCCATATCCAATGTGATTGCAAAGGTTAGTAAAAAAAAAAAAAAGGGAAAAAACAGAGAATAAATACTCCCTGCTGAAAACCTATAGTGGAGAAGTTAATCAATTACATTCAACTTGCTGCCAAGAAGAGGAGGGCAAGAGAGAGGCAGGCAGGGTAGATGTTCATTCAAGCAGTCTTAATTTCAAGGGAGACAGAAAACATGCATAAGATGGCAATGAATTTTCATCTTTAGGAACATCAGAAAATGGCAATGGCAAATCTTAACTTTGTAAAAAAAAAAAATGTGCAAAACAAAAACTTAATTTGCAATAAAAAAAATTTTTTTAATTGCAAAGGGATGATCCTAAGGATTTTTTTTTTTTTTTTTTTTTGCTTCATATAATACATTTTAGGGGGTAAATCCTTTATAATATCATGGAGCTAACAGTGAACTTTAGTCTCACAGTGGATTATGGGCCCTTCTACCTGAAAGGAAAGCATGTGATTGTGAACGCTGAACAGAGCTAAATGCTCCCTGATGTTATTGGGCTACGTTCCAGCACATGAGCATGTTGGGCCGATCCTCCTGTCTGCATAAAATAGGCTGGTTGTTCAAACACTCTTGAACTGCGAGATGGGTCTGAGACTGAGTAGGGTGGATGCCGAGTATTGGGCTCTAACGGGTTCAGGTTGCAGCTGCATAAAAAGAGTTGAGACTCATATCGTAGATTCTTTTTTCTTCTTTTTTTTTTTCTTTTTTTTTTGTTTCCGTCCAATATCCGGAGTTTCGTCCGATTAATCCGGATCTGACCCGCGTCACGCATCTGAAAATAGTGGGTAAGTCTCCCAACGAGAGTTGTTACGTACACAAGATTTCAAACTCAAAATCTTATTTAAACTGAAACAAACTATTTACGACTTGATCCAACCCTCGTTGGTTTTTTCCTTCTTTTTTATCAGCGAGAATTTTATGGAAAAGAAGAAATAATACAACGAAAAGTTGTCTTACAGTTTGCTCTAGGGCGAAATTATAAGATCAAAACTATCAAAGAGGAGAATTAGAATTTTTTTATAAGACTTTTTTA